CTGTTGGGGGGTAGGGTGTAAGGACTGGGGATCCAGGAGTGGCTGTGCCCACGGGAGCCATCTCTGAGCGGGAGATGGTGGGGGTGATCTCACACACCCCCTACTCCAGCAGCCCTCCCAGAAACAAAGACGAGGGCACTGTGGATGGATGGGAGTGCAAGGTTGTGGCCCCTGCCGTGTCCCCGTATGTGTCCACCCAGGAGCCCGGCTGCCAGCCCATCACTCCCCACTCAGGACCCCAGCCCGAGAGCACCAGAGGAGAGGCCGTGCCCTGGCCATGCCAGGGTGAAATGAAGTTGTAACGTGCGCCATGAAAGGCCTCTTTGTCCCTGGGACCAGGAGGCCAGCGCTGTGCCTCTGACCGCCTTGAGCAGGAAGTGGGCTGGGCGAGCTCCTGTGGCAGACAAAGGCGGTGTGTGCTCGGGGTGGCCCGCCGGGTCCTCGGGAGGGCTGGTGCCCGCATGTCCAGAACACTGTGTGTGTGTGTGTGTGTGTGTGTGTGTGTGTGTGTGTGCTCGCGTGCAGCGGTCCACTCACACTACAGATGCTCCCACACGTGCTCCTGCCTGCCAGGCAGTGTGTGTGTGGGCGTGAACATGTGTATATGTGCCTATGTGTGCGTGTTGTTGGGAGTATGTGTGTGTGCACGTGTATTTGCACGTGTGCCTTGTGTGCGTATGTGTACGTTTTCATGAGTGTGTCCATGAACTGGTGTGAGTGCTGTGCATATGTGTGCATGTGTGTGCATTTGGCTCACTTATGTACGTGTGTGTGTAGGTGTGTGAGTGCACATATGTGCATTTGCATGTCTGTATGCACGTGTGTATGTCTATGTGTGTACTTGTGTGTGAATGGGTGTGCATGCAGCGTGGGCCGGACCTCACAGGCCCTCCCCTGATCTTAGGCCCTCAGGAAGCTTCTGGAAGGACCTCACCCAGAGCATAAGTCTCCCTTGTTCAAGGTCTTGATGGCAGGAGGCCATGTGGGATTTTAACCCAGGCCCACCCCTTCAGTGCCATCCTGGGCATCTGGAGTCTGGCCCGTCACAGTGGGCCCTGCAGACCAGCCAGGACCTGCCCTCTGTCCTCACCCAGCAACGCCCTTGTGGCCTGTGCTTGTCCCACCCTGCACACCTCAGGGCCCCCTGCCCGTGTGCAGCGTTGCAGGAAGACCAGGGACTCTGTCTCACTCTGCAGTGGAAGGCCAGTCTGTCCCCAAACTCAAGTGCCTGTTCTTGGTCCCCGGGCAGGAAAGGGTCAGCGTCGGGGGCCCCGGGCCACCCTCGTGACACCCAGGGAAGTGACGAGAACGAGCATCCCGCTCTTGCTGAAAGAGTGTCGCTGGGTCGGGCCGTTCTTCCCCACTGTCTCAGTCCCCTAGTGCTGCCGAAATAGCAACACCTCAGTGGGTGGTTTTGAAGAACAGAAAGCTGTCTTCTCGGAGCTCAGGAGGCTGGATGTCCGAATTCAGGGCACTGGCTCTTGGGGAAGGCTCTCTGTCGACTCTGGAGGAAGGCCCTTGTCTCAGCGTCTCTAGCTGGTCATCCTTTGAATTCCTGGGCTGCAGACAGGTCTACCTCTGAGTCTTCAGAGACTGTTGGTCGGTCGTACCCCACGTCTGCTTCCTTCCATGCCTTATCTGCTCTTTTATATCTCAAAACGATTTGCTTAAAACACACCCTTCAAGGATATGGCCTCATGAATATAACAAAGACAGTCCTACTCCCAGATGGGCTTACGTCCACAGGTATAACAAAAAAACCAAATCTGTTGCTGTAGAGCCCATGACGCAGTGGTTAAGCACTCGGCTGCTGACCGAAAGATTGGCAGGTTGAATCTACCAGGCGCTCCTTGGAAACCCTGTGGGGCAGCTCTACTCTGTCCTATAGGGTCGCTGTGAGTCCACAGGTATAGGGGTTAGGATTTACAGCACATATTTTGAGGGGACACAATTCAGTCCCTAACACACGGGTTCCACAGAGGTAGAAGGGAAGTGCGTACTGAGATTTCATTTCAGCCGCGTTCAGCCTCTCACAGCCGCTCCCCATGGGGGTTGATGTCAGGGAATAATCCCTTTTCTCCTTAATTTCTCAATTCCTTCCTGGGCATTGCACGCAGGGCTTCCCAGGCTTGGGGCACGTGTGTGCATTTTAATCTGGAGCCTCTTGGTGGTTTAAGGTTTTGCATTCCTTGTCCAGCAAGGTTTCTTGGCATTTCTCACTGTCACTGGAAATGTCACCTCAGGGACGGGGAGGCAGCCGCGTGAGTGATGAGCTGGCAGGTCGGAGGCCCAGGAGCTGCCGACAGACCATGTCCGGCTCCTCCCGTCTGGATCCGGGAGGCAGGGAGGGCAGCCCAGGACGGCGGTCAGTGCCTTTGGCGTGAAGTCCGCGCCTCTCATCGGTGGCTTGGAAGCAGCAGACTTCAGTGTCGGCTCTCCCTCTTGGGGACAGTTCCCCAGGAAGCTAGGATGAGCGCTCCCTCCCAGCCCCCTCAGTGCCCAGCAATAAGTACGTGTCTGCCCTCACGTGGGAAACCTCTTTCATTCTCGGCTGCAGTATTTTTCCAGCTCTGACTTCCCTTGAATGAGGGGCATCTCCACACTGTGAGGTCTCCCTGGCCCAGATAAAGGTTAGTCTCTGCGATGGCTTTCTGGTGGACAGCCTGGGTGGGCAGGGTGGGCAGGTCTGGCCAGTGTACAGCACATGCCCCACATATCCAGACTGTGCCTGGGCAGGCATGACTAATCGATCACAGGGTTCCTTGCCTCTTGGCCAAGAGGCTGCTGGTGCTGATCTTCAGGCAGCTCTTGTGGGTTTATAAGAATCGGCCCACAGGAGGGGCTGTCCTTGGCAGCTGGTCACTTGAGCAGGGAAGCTGTCCCTTAGTGTCTCTTCCAGACTGTCTCCAGCCTCCCAGATCCACTCCTTTTGCAAGTCTCCCCAAATCCACCTGCCCCAGAAGCACCCCAAGGCCCACACTCTCGCCATGGCTGAGCTCTCTCCCAGGTCCCCTGTCGTCTCTTACCTGCTGTTTACCTGTGACCTGGCTTGCTACCTTGCTACCTGCAGGATCAGCTACATAACTGGGGGTGCAGAATCAAACGGTGGAGCCCCTTGCTCAAACACGAAGAGCATTAAACCAAGGGTGAGGCCCTTGTGGGTGCGGGACCCTGGGCAGCAGCAGGGTCCCCGCCTGAGGAGCTGCCCCGGCCCCTGTTTGGGGGATGTCATGTCAGAACACAGTTGCGTGCATAGCACCTGTTTAGAGAGCAGCGATTCCTCCAGACCATGAGAAATCGCGGGAAAATTTCAGTAAACCAGGAGGAGCTGGGAGATGTGAGGGGAGGCGGCGCCCCTCCTCATGCCTTCCCTGGCTCTCGAAGGTTCCAGACCAAGGAGACACCTAGATGGTCCTGTCTTCAGGAAGGGGCCAAGGCTCTGGTCCGTGAAATTCCCCCAAAGCCCTGGGCTGGTCCCAATTAATTCATCAGTGATTGACTGATGGCTGAACTGGACATGGGAGCGAGAACTAGACTAGGGGACCAGGGAGGGCTGCAGCTTCCCGGTCGGCCAGGAGCTGCTGTGGGACCCCCACCCTGCAGCGCCCACAGTCCTAGCCCTGGAATGGCCACACTGGGCTGTGCCAGCACCCGATCGGCAGCCCCCTGACCCTTTCTCTCTCCCCCCAGCCCGGATCATCAAGACAAAGCAATGGTGTGACATGCTACCGTGCCTGGAGGGGGAGGGCTGCGACCTGCTCATCAACCGCTCCGGCTGGACCTGCACGCAGCCCGGCGGGCGGATCAAGACCACAACGGTAAGTGGCCACGTATTCATGTGCTGCACCGGGGAGGGCAAGAAGGGTGCAGACACCAGTGTTAGGATGCCTGGAGCACTTGGGATGGGGGGACCTGCGATGACTGTGTCAGCCAGGGCTCTCCAGAGACAGAGCTGATGAGATAGAGGTACATTCCATGTATGTATGTGTCTGTATCTATCATCCATCCATCCCTCCATTCATCCCTCTAACCATCCCTCCATCCATCCCTCTCTCCATCCATCCACCCCTTCCTCTATCCATCCCTCTATCCATCTATCCCTCCATCCATCCATCCCTCCCTCCATCCCTCCATCCATCCATCCCTCCATCCGTCATGTAATCATCTATTGTCATCTGTTTGTATTAATCTATCATATGTCTGTCATCTATCATCTGTCATCTGTGTATCTGTCTATATGTCTGTCATCTATCATCTATCTTTTATCTGTCATCTGTCTATAATCAATCTTTTATATCGTCTGTTTATCGTCTGTTATCTATTTATCATCCATGTGTCATCTATTATGTATCGATCATCTATCTTTTTTTCTATCCTCCATCATTTATCTCTCGAGAGAGACTTAGTTTAAGGAAGTGGCTCATGGAGGTGTAGAGACTGGTAAGTCTGAATTCCGTAGGGCAGGTGGCAGGCTGGAAACTGGCCAGATTTCTGTTATAGTCTTGTGATAGAATCCTTCTCTGGGATTTACACGTGTAAATTACACCTTCAGACCACTTTCACAGAACACCTAGACCAGTGTTTGGCCAAGTCTCTGGGCCATGGCCCAGCTCGGTGGACATACAGGATTCATCGTCACATGCAGGGATCGGGGTAGCTGGTCGCCAGCTTCCTGATGCAGAGGTGGGACCACCACCCACCTCCTCTCCCATCCTCTAGCTCTCCCTCTGGGACCAAAGTCCCTGGCGCAGTCTGACCCTCTGTCCCTGCCCCGAGGAGCCAGCTTTCCTTGCTTGCTTCCCGACTCAGTGCCTTGGGAAGGTTAAGTCAGGGAGGCTCGGGACCCGACGGAGCTGGAAAGCCCCTGTGGTTTACCCAGGTTTTCCCCGAGAGCTCAGGGCTGCCCGCTTCCTTCACAGTTTGACCAGAGGACCATCCGTCGGAGTGCAGACGTGACTCCCCTCCCTATCTGTGACTGTGGGCCCAGCAGCTCCTGGGGGAGACGCAAAAGGGCTGTTTCTGCCACCTTTTCAAGAGGCAGATTCGGTGTAGCTGCTCCATGGAGCCCGCAGTCACCTGGTCGGGGGCCGGCAGGTGACTTGAGTCTGGGCAGGTTCAGGGCCTTCCCTCCGGGCGAATTCTGAGGCCAGGATAGTGAAGCCTTGCGTGTCCCTGCTCAACTGGAAGATCTTCGTCAGCTGTGCGCTCACCTGGCTCCTGGGGCCTGTGGCATTGTGAGAATTTCGGGCAAACCGGCCCCCATTGCAGCCTGCCCTCCACGGGCCTGTCGAGGGGGCGCTGACGGCTGGGGGGCAGTGACACCCCCGGGGCGAGTGCGTGTGGCACGCCTGTTTCCAGCCGTGCCGTGTGCTCCGGGCCACGGAGGGAGCTTGTTTATTCCGTGTTCGACACAAAAGCTAGCGGCATTGTGATCACACCTGCTGAGGCAGGAGGCACCTGTGAGCTCATTACCGGCGCCTGGAGGAGGGCCCAGGAGGAGGCCCGGGTTTCCCAAGATGGGGTGTCCTGTCTCAGGTTTTCCAGGGGTGCACAGTCTTTCCCAAGTGTTCCCCTGTCCTCTTACTGAAAGGCACTGTTGCTGAAAGGTTCCTTGCAGGGAGCAGCTGAGCAGCTGGCATCGCAGTTTCGAGTGGGTTTGGCGGGGTTCTTGTTGGATGCACAGGGCCCTCGGGCACCCTTCTCGGCAAGGGATGGCACCTGGGCAGAGGGTGCCTTGTTCATAAAACACGCCAGCCCGTGTTAGCACCTGGGGAGGGTGAACTTGGTCTGGCTGGCAGTGTACCCCCTGAGGGTCCATAAGTGTTAGAGTGCACTCACCCCACCCCACCGTCCCCCACTTCTGGGTCCTGCGTGGACTTCACGCCACGTGCTGGCCTGCTGGGAGCATCCCTCATCAGCGTGGGTGCCTGTGCAGCAGTGACGTGGCCGTGGGCGGGGCGTCCACCCACAGGTCCACAGAAGGGCACAGCCTGGAGCTTCTGCCTCTCGGCCTCAGTTTCTACAGTTCTGACCTTTGTCCACGTGGCCATGGTGGGCAGCCCTGAGTGGTGGCCTGCGGGCAGGCCTGCTGCAGGGGGACAGCAGCAGACCGTACGTGCCCTCACTTGCCTTGTGGGTGAACCAGGATGTCCCATCTCGTTAAGCCTCAGAGCCTCAGCCGGGCCCTCTGTGCTGTCCTTTCCTGCCTCAGGGGGCTGTGAGGGGGGCTGGTGAGTGCCTGGGGCCTTTAAGGGGCAGAGTCCCAGCAGACAGGTGTCCTGTCCTCCCAGCTTCATGAGCAGGCTCCAGGCACCTCCTCTCCCCACCCACTGCCCACTGGGCCCTGCCGTCTCAAACCTGGCACCCCAGTAAAGCCAGTTGCCATTGAGTCAACTCCAACTCATGACAACCCCTTGTGTGTCAGAGTAGAACTGTGCTCCGTAGGGTTTCCAATGGCTGATTTTCCAGAAGTAGATCACTAGCTCTTTCTTCCAGGGCACCTCTGGGTGGACTCAAACCTGCAACCTTTCAGCTAGTGTGCTCACCATTTGCACCACCCAGGGCCTCTGTACTCCAATACCTTCCCAAATTCACCACCATCAACCACACGGGAGTTCTGTGTCCAGGCCCCAGTGGGCTGCAGAGATGCAGGCTTCGTGTTTTCCAGGCGGGAGCCAGCACCCCAGCGGGCTCCGCCTGGGCCCTGGGTTTGCAGAGGCTGGTTTTAGCACTGCACTGTCTCAGCCTCAATGATCCATCGCTCCTTCATTGCCACTTAATGAATTCCTCCGTTTCCTTGACACGATCCCGATGCACAGCCAATGAACATCCATGTGCCACTTCTTCCGGAGCTAACTTGTATAAACCTCTGTGATTTTACTGCGGAACTAGGTGGAATGGGAAATTGAGACAGCTTGCAGTGGGCAGCAGTGTAATTACTCGGCCGAGAGTGGACCTGTTGGCCAGTGACATTTGTGGGGACCAACCACGCCAACGGTGACCAGCAGGGAAGGGATTCTGTCCTTAGTCCGAGGCTGTCTGCATCGGCCGGATTTCCACGAGGACTCCCCATGACTCCTCCTCATACCCTACTTCTGGCACAAGCTCGTATTTTCCCTCATCGGGAAATCTGTGTAGTCTGAAAGCAGTTAAAAAAAACAAGTTGCCATTGAGTTGAAGCTCATTGCGATCCCACGTGTGTCAGAGTGGAATTGTGTTCCATAGGGTTTTCAATGGCTGATATTTCGGAACTAGATCACCAGACCTTTCTTCTGAGATGCCTGTGAGTGGACTGGAACCTCTCACCTTTCAGTTAGCAGCCAAAAGTGTTATCCGTTTGCACCACCCAGGGACTCCAAAACCAATCAACAAGGTCCCCAACATACAGAGTCCACATTTCTGGACAAGCCAAGGGACAAGACAGTGCCTCTGCTGGGCATCTGATGCCAGCAGAAAAATACCTGGTCTGTGAGCTTCTAATATTTCTATTTCTTCCCTGCTGTTCCAACACTGGAATTAGGACTCAGCTACCCCTGTCTCCTACATTCCCCCAGAATACCAGCCTCCTCATTTTCTTACCCCCATTTAATCCTCAGAGCTTGAGTCCTACCACTGTCCAATCTAGGGTCTCCTGAACTCACCCTAGAAACAGAAGAAGGCCTGCCCCTCCAACATGGCCTCACGTGTTGCCAGAGAGGACCCTAGAACTGAGTTCCCCTTACATCAGCCCAGTCCAAGCCCAGCAGGGCCTTCCCTGTAGGGGTGGGGAGCAGCTCATTCTGGAGTATTTAAGGGGTAGGCTGCCCACTTTCCAGGGATGTTGGAAAGAGTTGTGTCTTCCTTAGCATTTGGAATAATAGCTGCATTGCCGACCGCTTAATTTACCCAGAGGGCCTTGATGAGACTGGTCAATGCACTCATACTCCATTTGGCCTCCCAGGCCTGGGAGCTCGGCACTCTCGTCTCAGTTTTATGGCTGTGAAAACCGCAAGTTGGAGAGGTTGGGTCACTCCTGATGATCCCGTGGTTGGTGGGACACGGAGGTGTAGTTTGAGTCTTGCTGGATCTACCCAGCTCCAAAGCTGGGCCTGGCTTTGTATGAGACAGAGATCTTCAGATCTGCCCACCATTGGAAACCTTCTATCTCAGTGCCTCGGTGGGGTATCCCAGCCTCTTCCCACCCTGGAGGTGCCCACTGCTGTAACCACGTGCACAGGCAGGTACACATGCTGGTCCAGGTGCAGCAGGAGACACCATCATTCAGGCAGAGGAAGGAGGGCTGCCACACCCGGGGAAATCAAGGAAGGGATACCTCCTGTCAGGGGTCTTTGGTTCACCCAAAGGGTGATGTAGCTTACACCTGGAAGGGCACCACCCTCCTTTCAGAGGCAGAGATTGGCAACCTCGTTCCTTCCAGCTGACCCATGGTGTTACACTTCCACCGTCAGAGCCACATCCATGGCGGCCCAAGGCGCTTGGGTTGGCAGAGCTCCTTGAGTTACTGTGTGCTGATTCTGGGAGCCCCGGCGGGCTCTGTAATCTTCCCAAATATCTCCAGAGACGTCTCTGAGAACAGCGTGCCATCTGGCTCCTAATAGAATTCTTGGCCTGTGGTGACCTGTTTACAAAGCTTTCTTAAAAGGTTAGTTGATCTCTTGAACCAAACACCGTACAATTGGAGCTTATAATCTCAGTTCCATGATTGCATCGGTTCCCTTATAGATGGAAAATTAGTACTGTGGAGTTTCACACTTTACCATAAATTGGTTTTCTGTGAGGTAGGCTTTAAGAAACCTGATTATTACCTGGCCTCGTTACTGCCAATTCCATTTCAGCCACCGTGGTTTAGGCCAGCCACCCTTCCCTCAGCCACAGCCCCATGCCTGAGCTTTGCAGGGTCCTGTTGCAGACCCTGTGTCATGCAGTTCTACTCTGACACGCACGGGCCGCCCTGAGTCTAAATGGATTCAACAGCACCGGGTTTGGTTTTTTGTTTTGGTGTAGGCGGTCGCCCCCCCCTCCCCTCCCCCCAGCATACCCAAACTGAGCACCGTGCTCTCACACCCAACCCACTGCTCCGTGGGGACCAGTGCTGTTCATGTGTCTGCATAGCCCTACGAGACTGAGCTCCTCAGGAGAGACTGGGCCCCAAGTGGGTATGTGTGATAAACTGATTAATCAAAGAACTGAATGCAAGCCCAAGGCATGCTGGTGTCTGCATTTCCTAGACCACTGCCTCGCAGAGTGCAGGTCATCACCCATTAGAGGGCCCTGAAGTTAATGCAGTCAGTCTGATCAGCATTGAGAAGGAGGAAGGAGAAATAGATAAAAATATTAGAGGGCATTCTGGGTCATAAGGGTGAGTGCTGTTTAATGAAACACACACAGAGAAACACAAATTCACACACACACACACACAAATACACATCAGATACACATATACATACATAAACACACACATGCATACAGAGACACACATACTCTCACATACATGTATACCCACATATACACACACATACGTATGTATACACAGAGACACATACACACAGATGCACACACAGACATACATAAGCTC